CTTCCACTGCCTTAGCAGTCCCTGTCTCCACTACCTGCTGGAACAGGAATTCTTGGGCTCTGCTGTCAGGTACGTGACAGTTGCTCAATGTTTGAGCAATGTATCCACATGCTAGCAGCTGGATCATATCTAGCGGTTTCCTGCATTTCTGTGATCCTCTTCATGTGTGTTCCAGCCTTGCTCCTAGTGTTTTCCAGTCTTGCTTCCAGTGTGTTCCAGTCTTCTCCTAGTGTGTTCCAGTCTTGCTCCCAGTGTGTTCAATCCTTGCTTCCAGTGTGTCCCAGCCTTGTGTCCATCTGTCTATACCTTGCTTTTATCACTTTGGGTGGATGCCTACCTGCAGTTCATCTTCTTGTATCTCCATGTGTCATTCTACTCTTCAGTTTTTCTCTCTGCACCAGCCTTTTTCCCTTGTGAGTTTCAGCCAGCCTCATTATCTTACCAGGCAGTATCTTAGATCTTGTGCCTCACCCCTTTTTAGGGCTGTCAGCACCACTAAACAAGCAGCCAGCCGAGTACTCCATATCCATTCTGTGGCTTGCAAAACCATTTGCCCAGCTGCTACATTAAGTTCTGGCCAAACATTCAGTCCCCAGTGGGAGCAGACTCCTAAGTCATCACAGCAACAATGTAAATTAGACTATATTTAGGAAACTCCTGAAGGAAATTATCTGTGAGGAGTAGGTATGGAACTGTCTTATTGGATGTGTAGCAAGACCACTGACACCAGTTTTAGTTGTGTAGCACCCTCCTAGATAGGTGCTAGGAGTAGATAAATTTAGTTTTCTCACTGTAGCCAGTGAGGCTGTATTATTTTGCAAGGCAAATTTAGCTCTAGCTCACTGTAGCAGTTGTAGCTGAATATATCTGTATCTCCGGGGTAACAATAATCTCCAGGGGATAATGTAAATGGGAAGCATGAATATTTATACTGCCTTAGCCAATCTTGTGGGCACATGCACTGCTGGCTGCTGGGTAACAGTATAAATAGTTTGCGCCCTGGAGCAATCTTGTCTTGTCTTGGAGAGGGGAAGTCTACCCTGGAGGGCACGCTGCCCTTGTAGGCAACCCTGCTATGTGCTTGCTGTATGTGAGGCCCTCAAATGGACTAGCTGAGAGGCCTGGAAGCTGACCGAGGGACTGTCTCATGGTGGATGTGGTCTGGGACTAATAGCAGACATTGGAAGGAGGCATCCATTTGTCTGAGGGCTTGTGAGTACAGACTCTGTGAGAGATCCTAGAGACTGAGTCTGTGCTGCTGCTACTGAGCTGGGAGTGCAAGAAAGAGAGGGGGTACTGGCTGGTATCCTGAAGAGATTAGTCCATCTTATTCTGTGCTACAAAGACTTTGCTCAAATTACTGAAACAAGTTTGTGCCTTGCATCTGCTTCAAATCAGCCAAGTTCCTTCTGGTCCCTTCAAGGACTGTGCTTAAAATGCTGCAGAAGAAGGAAGTCAGTGTCCTCAGGTATACATTGTTATTTTTGGAGCATCTCACCCTTTCCTAATACATATCCAAGTTACTTCAAAAATAAAACCATCCAAAAAAGAACATCAGTGGACTGTTTTCTGATTCTAAGAGTGACTGTGTTTGTGTGCCTGGCTGTTGGGCAGAATACGGGAAAAGACCCAAGATGCCTGTCTCACAGTTGGCTCCTATGAGGGTACCGTTACACTCCATTCAATAAGCTATGTGAGAACTGCGTGACCATGTAAAGTGAACATTAGTGACCAGCATCTTTAGTAAATCAAAACCATTTACTTATTTGTGGAAATTTCTCCTCTTTCAACAAAGCTGCTAAGGATAGATAGCTAGAAATGTGAAAAGGAGTCTAAAGTTTCACCTGCTGGATGACTATAAAAATATAAAATGTTTATATACAAAATGTCATATTTATCTGGATAAAAAAGGGAACATCATAACTTTTTTCCAAAACATTTTGTATTCTGACTATTGCAAAAAAAATCTGTACAAAATTACTATACTTTCTGTTTTAGTTAAAATGCTACTGTATCTCTACACAATTTCAGAGGTTTGGCTGATTGTGACTTATCACTGCCTTCTGTGTTTCAAGCGTTTCCAAATAGTAAACTACATACTTTTGCTTAGTGGTTTGCAAAGTAGTGATCCACCACAATCAAAGGACATTCTTTAATCAACTATCACTGAGGCCAAAATTATACAGGAATCATATTTCTGCTCATTTAATTTGTCATTTGGTAGAAACAGAACAAACAGGCAGTGTAGGTGTGACCCTGTTTTGTGCTTAAATAAGAATTAAAGTATAACTAATGGCAATATTTTTTATTCTTTACTTTTGGACAAAGTTGAGATGGATTAGAATACAGGTCAGGTTTTTAATATCACCTCTGTCCCTGTTAGGAAGATTCACCCTCTTAATTAGTCCTGTTTACTTTTATCATCAAAAGTGAAAGTAAAAGTAAAACCCAAATTTTAGGTTGTCTTCAGAACAGTAATAGAGGGGAGATCTTCTGTTGATCTAGGGGGAGCCAGTGGACTCTCTTCATTTGCAGGGATTTCCTTGCACTGTTTTGGCTAGGGGACAGGAAGTGAAGGGAAATCTTCCCAATGGGACTCAGATGGTGAAAAACTGACATGGGTTATAACCTTCCCTTATTCTATCCAAAATGAAAAAAAATGTGTATATAGTTCTACTTTAAATGCCTGTGGATAAAAGGACAACATACTCCTAAGAAATAAACCTAGTAAAACAACTGAACACAGGTTTTTATCTATACGGGAGAGAGGAATTAAAGTCTGCAAATACCCACCTCTGCTCCAGTGATGTGACATCTGCAAGCTCCCACCCCAGTACCAAAATCTTCTCCCTGGCATCTTCCTGGTGCAGGGTCTTTGGTTGTTTTGATTGGTCATTGTGGGATGACGTTGATTTATCCCAGCACCCAGCAGATGTCAAACTTGCACACTGTGCTGTTCATGTGCAACTCAGTGTACAGTGTAAAGGAGAGTGCAAGGAGGAAAGTAAGAAGCCTTTACTGCAGAATAAACATGTTCCTTCTGTAATAAAATACCTATCTTTTCACAATTTTTCGTTTTAAGAGCACAGTTCCTTTTTAAGGAAACATTTTCTCAGATGGGCAGAAACCCATAATAAGCAGATTCTCTTCTTAATCTCCCATACTACAATGGGAGAAAGAAAGGGAGTTATTATTAGTTGTGCTTGCAACATAAACTGTTTGTGACAGTCCATCCCCTAGTTAGGCCACCAGGCATTGGCTTGCCAATATTGTTAAATGGCAAGCATCTCTGATTTTGTCACAGGTTCAAAGATGACATCCTCAGTTTCCATAATAGCATTCAAAGTGAACAGTTTCAGTAATGCAGGTTCAAAGATGCCAGTTTCAGTAATGATTATCCCAGCCCAGGAGTTGATGAATCTAATAGTTGCATCATTTGGGTCAGCCCCCAGCATCATCCAGAGTCTCTTGTATCTTTCATTCCAGTAATAGGAATCCTGCCCTATGTCCCTAGGCCCAGACATGGAGAAAAAAATAAGCCCAGGCATTTTAAATCAAGCAGACAATTTTTCCAGGGACTGGGGGGGGGGGGGGGGGGGGGAGAAGGGGCAGCAGGTGTTTCTGGGGCAGTTGGTGACGAGAGTCGGGTCTTAGCACTGTAATGTAAAGGGGCACTGTGATATAAAGGGGAATGCACTGTGAAGGGCACTGTAGTGATTATAGTGCCCCTTTACAGTGCAGTCCCCTTTATCTCACAGTGCCCTTCTACATTACAGTTCCCCTAGCAATCACAGAGTGTCCCCTTACATATAATCAGTTAGCCCCATGAGAGTGCCCCCTTACATCAGGTGTCCAGATTAGAGTACCTCCTTTCATGGGTTGTTCTCATCAGAGTGCCTTCTTACATCAAATGTCTGCATCAGACTGGCTCATGGATCAGTGGATGCACTCTTAGAGACCTGAGGGGGCACAACCCACCCCAGTACCCCGCTAGATCTAGCCCTGGACACCACACACAAAAACACACACAGAAACTGGAGGACTGTTGTGCTCATACCTGGAGGAGAAGATCCATCTCCATCACAGAGCCCCTTATCTGCTCATTAACTGCCAGTGACAGATGCCTGTCTGGGCCTGCATTCCACCTCTACTACCTGTGCAAGGTATACAAGACAACAGCTGGCCTTCTCTTCTCTTTCCAGCACACAGACAGCCTGTAATCACCCAGTTCATGCCATTTACACAGAAGGTGTCAACGGCTTTTGGAAGGGAGGGATGTCAATCCAGAGCTCCAGATGGAATGGCCAGGCCTGCCCTGCCTGCTGAGCCCCAATTGACTTTGTTGGTGGGGCAGGACAGCCAAGAGAGGAGACACAAGCATGGCTGCATAGCAGGAGGTTAAGCGGCAACTGCAGTGATAGCCCTGTTTGGACCGTGGTCGCCACTTACCCCCCACTGCACTGCCCAGTCATCAACAGGCCATGGACCTGGTGACCCCGGTCCACTGGAAATGCCCAGTGTGCCCTCTGGTCAATCCAGGCCTGGCTCTAAGGTACTGTAAGCTGTGAGCGATTGGGGCAGAGGCTGTAGAGGTTTGAAAGAAACAAGCGTGAACGTGCTGGGAGAGACATGTAGTTGTGAGCAGATATGGAAGAGCAGTGCAGAAATAAGCAGTGCTGGAAGAGTTTTCAGGGGGGCACTGAAGGCAGAAGTATTGGAACAGCATGTTAAGGGAAGGAAAAGTGAGGAGTGTTGGAAGAGGGTTGCAAGGAGTAAAGAATTGGGAAGTGCTGAAAAAGGTGTCAGAGAGAGCAGATGTGAACAATATGGAAAAAGATGCAAGGTGTGCTGAAGTGAGCAGTGTGGAAAGAGGATGGCAGGAGATGCAGAGGCGGAAGTGGGAAATGAGGTACCGACGCGTTGCGTCACGCCCTCGTGACTTCTTCAGGGTAACCAATGACACAGCAGATCACCTAGTAAATACAATTGTCGGTTAATGGCAGCACTTTCCTCATCCTGTCACAGCATGAGGAAAGTACTGCCAATAATCGGCAGCTGTCACAGAGCAGATCGGCACTGACCATTAGGGCACTGATCATCAGTGCCACTCAGCAGTGCCACCCCACAGTGCCACCTATCAGTGCCCAAATCAATGCTACCCAGCAGTTGCGCTCATCAGTGTCAAAGCAGTGCCGCCCAGCAGTACCGCCAGTCAGAGCCATCAATCAGTGCTGTGAGTCAGTGCTATCAGTCAGTGCCGCTCATCAGTGTTACCCATCAGTGCCCATCATTGCTGCATATCAGTGCAGCATCATCAGTGCCTCCTCACCAATGCCCACAAGTACCGCCTCATCAGTGCTACTTCATCAGTGCAGCCTATCAGTGCTGCCTATCCGTGCCACCTCATCAGTGCTGCCTATCAGTGCCCATCAGTGCTGCCTATCAGTGCAGCCACATCAATGCACATCAATGAAGGAGAAAAATTTCCTGTTTGCAAAATTTTATAATAGAAACAAAGAAAAAAACATTTTCAAATTGTTTGCTCTTTTTTTGTTTATAGTGCAAAAAATAGAACACCCAGTGATGATTAAATACCAGCAAAAGAAATCTATATTTGTGTGGAAAAAAATGATAAAAATTTCATATGGGGACAGTGTTGCATGACTGAGCAATTGTAATTTAAAGTGCAACACCCTTGAAAACTGAAAGTTGGCCTGGGCACAATGGGGGTAAAAGTGTCCAGTAGGCAAGTGGCTAAAGTCACCATAAACATGGAGTTAGGCTTTAACCCCTCCACTGTGCTGTAGGAACAGTGGATTTTTTTTTACTTATGCCAGTAAGAAAAAAAAAAAAATAAACCTCATTAAGATCTCATGTACACAGAACATTTGACCTCATGTACACAGAACATTTTGCTGACTCTCCTAGAAGCCTTTCCTCCTGGCGGCAGCATTTTGGCATAATAAAACGGCTGACACTTGCATAAGTGTGTACCGTGTTTAGGTGCATTTAGGTTTAACAAACACTGTGGAAATTGTTATACAATTCATTGTTCTTTACTCTTTCATCTGTAAACACCTTCTCAATAAAAATAAAGACTTTCCAATAAAGTGTCTAATCAATTGTACCACAGTTCATAAATAAAAAAAAAACATACAAATCTTCTGTGTTCCTAATAAAGTATTGATTTGCTGCACCACAGTTCATATATAAATCATAAACCTCTTTCTGTGCATTCCTCAACAAGAATGCCTATGGCAAAATCCAGTGTTTCTGAACTCAAGATGCCACTCCACACATCCCCTTGTGAAACACACACTGGATTTTAACTAAATAAAGGTTAACTACAATTTTATTTACAGTATTTAATCTAGACAGTGATTCCTCTTTTGCCTCTTTTTCCTCTGGTTGTCACCAATAAAGTCAGCTTCCACTAATCTCCATGCCACCATGAAATGAATATGGGGAGATCCAAACATAGTGTAACACTGCTTTATTATTAAAACAGCAGAGACCCAAATTGCGCACTTACATGTGTTTGTGACAAAGTATTAGCCCAGCAATCACATACAGCACCACCACCTCCAAGATGGCACTCCAAACAGCGGAAATTACATCATGGATATAGCCCCAATCCACGTGTTTTGTATATTGGATGTCTTCAGGTACCAGTCCCTCATATCTGGCAGTGAGTTTGCAAAGTTTTCATCCAAAAGATCATAATTCATGAACTTGAGGATTCACAAGAAACCTGTGGTACCTGCCAACCCATACCTCATACCTACATTTGACCTTCTTCAAGTGGGTTTTGCACTTCCCTAGCCCTGTATGGGACTGCAAAACTTGTCTGATCCCATCGATGGCCTGACCTAAGCATCTTGGAAGTCTCCATTAAGGTGAACCTGTTGATTTGCCCTTTGTAGATTCACAACTCAGATTCACTTCAAGACAATAAACACAAATACAGCATTCAGAAGAAATACTGTATGTATTTAGCTGCAAAGTTTGGATTTAAAGCCCATATCACACTGGAAAATGTGTAGCTACAGAATGGTTTTTCTTAGCATTTATGTTACTAGGAAAAAATGTATTGCACATTAGAAAGGTTTTTTGTTCCTGAAATTCCAAAAGATATGTAGCTTATTTGCTGAGTAGGTGATTTTATGCAGCATTTGGAGCTAGGGACAGAAAGTTACTCATAAAATCCAACACAGCTGCTGATGATCATGTCACACCAGTAATTTATAGCTTCATACATAAGCATTGTGGTTGGCTACATCAGCAACTCTGTATCCAGCTACAAATCGCCAGAGAACATAATCAGAGATTTTTAGCTACTACGAAGTTGTTAGTGTGACAAGGCCATAAGGCGAAGGTCAAAGTTCTTCACTGAGTAATGCATGCGGTTTCTTTGTGGTCACAATGCTATACATGGATCAAATTAACTTGAACAAGCCATTATGTTGTGCTTTATTTTACAAGCCGTTTTCATTTTAAAGTTTTTTTTTTTTTCTAGGAAACTGACTTTTTAGTATTTGGTACTGTAGAACCAGTAGATTAAAGAAAATATGTCACAATATAGGCTACAATTTTCTACCTCTTCTGAAATTGCTAATTGTCTGGCTGTTGGCTGTCAAACTGGCCCTTGTGATTCATTACATGGAGTCACTAAAGCTAGGGATACACAGGAAATACAGTAGGCGACTAAAATCAAGTGATAAACCAACAGCTTTGTAACATAATGTATTTGCTTCTTATTCAGTAAAGTCCATGGACAATATTTATATTCACAATAATATGAGCAATCACAAAATATAGAACAATGTTCCAAATAAGTTGCAATACAGTTGGTAGTAGTGGCAATTTTTTTATTTTCCCTATTTTCTCAATTGGCAACTGTTACTAGTCACAGATAGTCATGATTTTGTGTGATAGATACAACAAATGATATGAAAGATATGACAGATTTTCCCTTTTTTTAAGAGTAAGTTATCAGCTGAACAAAAAAAAATCATTCACAGAAACCGCACATGGACATGGACAGTCACAAGACATGAATGGCTTCTATAATATTAATCATTTTTTCGGTACACGGTTGATAAATGTAAATAGGCAGTTAAAGGCCATCTCCAGGCATGACAAGCCCACCTTCCATTTATTAACCAATTCTAAACAGAAAAAATCACTTCTAAAGCCTTTTTAATACTCACTGGTGCTGCTTCAAAGAGTCATAATTATGAATCCAGCACTGTCTATGCCAATCATCTTTCCACTGCATTCTGGGAGGACCCCGCAATTGAAGAGCCATGCAGAAGTGTGAGATGGCTGTGAGATGAACAAATGAAGAAGGACTCCTTCTCTGCAAGGAAGAAAAGAGAACACTCATAACACAGAGGGGTTGATTTACTAAATAAATGTGTAGAGTTCAAAATCTGGCACAGCTCTGCATAGAAACTAGTAACTTACAGTTTTTTTTGTTAATGTTTAATTGAACAAGCTGGAGTTGGAAATTGATTGGCTACCCCATGCACAGATGCACCAGATTTTGCTCTCCAGTTTTAGTAACTCAGTCCCAGAGTGTCATGTGATCACAGATTAATGTCATTTTTTGGGGCATTTAAACCTAATGGTTTTTTTTAATTAATCCAGCAATAAATTGGTCGAGTGAGGGGTGAGTTCCTGTAGTTCAGATTAAGGGACTTTGACTTTACAGTATACTTACCTGTGATTTTGAAAGTACAGAAACAAGAAGGACATCATAATAGGCAGGCAACTAACATTTTCAGGAGAAGTTAGGCAACAGCACCCCTTCACATTTCTTTTATGACAAGTTATAGCTAGTAGTAGTTACTCGAAGATAAGATCTTTTGTAACTTATCCAGTCCAGTTCTCCATTTCTAAAAAAGACTAGCAACATACCCCAACATTTATAGCCACACAAGTAACTCAATCACCTTAATTCAATCATATATGAAATGGTAAGGCAGATGTGAATTGTCCAAGAACAAGATGGAAGGTAAGAAAGTTTGTGAAAACATCCCAATCCTTGGTGCCAGGAAGTCTACTTTATGTGTTAATCATTTAATTTGTATGAGTGAAGGTATGTATTGTTGTCAGATCACTGGGTTATAGATGTTAAAACCGCATTATAACTGGATAACAGTTGATGTTAAAGGCCCCAACGCCTGTACAGGGCTGGTTGTTTCAAGTTGACATAAATTGTCTCTTTCACGCCTCTTGTGGTCTTTGTTAAAATGTGATGTTTACTGTCCTCAAAACAATGTTCCTTTTTCTTAACATGTAGGAAGACTGCTGAGTTCATAGTCCCAGTAGTCTACTAGCATTACCCTGACCTGGATAAATGTGAATCTTCACAGACATACATTCTTGATAGGTTTATTTTAATCTTATATATAAGGATATAAATGTTAAAGTGTGTTTTTATAAATTTGTTACTTCAATCCCTTCCATACAAACCTCAAAATATACAATATACAAAGGAATTTGCTTTGGAACATCCATTGTCTCTTGAGATATCAGTTAGGTAAACTTTTCTGCTAAGTTTTTCTTTTTTTCAGTTGCTAGCATGCAACATTCAGCCTTGTTGTATTATTTATAAAAAGTAACAGCAGATTTCTATGGGTTGAAAATGGGAAAGAAAGCACACAGAGAATATAATGTACAGACCTTGTATCACAATCCCTGGTAAAGTCCAAACAATTATGGTAATCTTTCTAGCAGTATGTAGGAATCATGGCAGTCTCTTTGGTGTCATGACACTTTCAGGTAACATGCAGCAATGTTTAAAAAGCATGATCTGCAATTCCATTTATCTTTTTTTTTAATGTACCTATCTTCCAGCTGTCTTTTCTTCTTTTACATGATGCTCGGGATCTTCTTCTTTATTCTGGTGTGGTGAGTGGTTCTTGGTCCTGTGCTAAATAGCAGTCAAGTAAGGACTTGTAAGCAATGTTCAGTGCAGAAGTGCTGTGAGCCCAGATGCTAAGCATCTTTAGACCCAGAAGACAAGAGACAGTAGACAGATGCATTCAGCCATCTGTGGTGGGCAGCTCAAGAGAGGAGGTAAGTACTACAGTGAAAGACATTTTTTATAATTAATGGGTGGGCTATCTTTTTTCCAAAACATGACTTGGTACAATGTACTTATAGGAAAATGTATACTGACTTATACAAATGTTCATTATTTATTATGGTCATTAGCAGGGGCGGACTGACAACTCCTGGGGCCCCCGGGCAATAGGGGATCATGGGGCCCCTGTGTCCTTGACCAAACTCGAAAAAGCCTATGAAAAAGGTACCAGGGGCAT